ATCAATGATTTTGTTTTGTTTTGTATTGTTTTGTCTCGTCCTCTGTCAATTTCGAAAATATATCCTCGGAGCCAAGAAATGCGCCATCGCGTTCTTCTCAAATCGATCGCGAATGGAATTTCGGGGATGTGATTTTCGGTGAAGAAAATTTTCTTTTGCGGCGGCATTGTAAAAAGAGGAAGAAAAAAAAGAAAAAAAAAAAAAAAGAGAGAGAGAAAAAAAGAAAGAAAGAAAATAAAAAAGAATTCCACGCTTACGATACACCCTTACGACGAAACGGGGACGAAGGAATGTGGGAGGTGAGCGAGGGACGGTGGGAGAGAGAATTTTCTTTTGCGACATTGTAAACAAACAAAAATTCTTTGCACGCTTGCGACGAAGATGGTGGCGATGGAGTGGGGAAAACGGGGGTACGGGATGGTGATACGTTGTAGAAAAAGGACAGAAAATTTTCTTTCGCGAGATTGAGAAGAAAGAAAGAAAGAAAGAAAGAAAGAAAGAAAAAAAAAATAAATAAATAAATAAAACGAAAAGAAATTCCATGCCTCGACACATCGTACATATCACAAATGTCAAAATGTCAAAACATCAAAGTGTCGTTTGAACAATAATCAACGATTCATCCTTATTAATTACGTTATCGAATTTACGATAAAAAGAAAGTGCATTGGTATACGAATAAATTTTCGGATTAATCATCGTGTCTTCTTCGATTCCCTTTCTTTTTTTTTTTTTTTTTATTATTCTCGTTACTCTTTCAATTTGTTATGTGGAATTTGTGTTTTCTTTCTTTTTCTTTTTTTTTTTTCCTTTTTTTTTCTTTTTCTTTTTCTTTTTCTTTTTCTTTTTCTTTTTCTTTTTCTTTTTCTTTAAAAACAAAAATTTCCAACGCTCTCAAAGATTTAAGAAGATACGTCATGTAGACGTTTCTTTTAATATCAATTATTTCTTAATCTCATCATCTCTCGTGTACGGTCATACGTTTTTCATCAATCGTAGCGTAGATCTTATCGTAAATAGATAAGATCGTAAACGTCTTTAACGTATCTTAGATGACGTACTATTACATGTTCAGGATATGGAAACGAGTTCTTCACTGTTCATTCTACGAATGACATACTACCGCTTTAGCGTGTCTCTCATCTTTCGCAAAAAAAAAAAAACGAAATAAAAGAAAATACGAAAGAAACAGATAGATAATAGATAGATAAATAGATAGATATATAGATGGATGGATGGAGAAAGATAGAAAAATAGTAAAGGTGTCGTAAAGCGATTATTATTCCTCGTGAGTGAACGACGTGTAATAGAGAAAGAAGAAGGGTGGGGATCTATCTTATTTGTCCCTTTCTCGAACATATTGCTTCTTTCTCTCAGAAGCTTTTGGTTGTACTCGAAGGATGAAAAAGAGAGAGACAGAGGGAGAGAGAGAGAGTGAGAGAGAGGGGGCCGCTGCGGGGGGGGAAGAGGGGTTAGAGAAAGGGATGGGAAAGGGAGAACTCTCTGGAAGACCTTGACTGGACGTTTCGCGTCTAAGGGAGAGAGATAAAGAGACAGAGCGAGCGAGAGAGAGAAAGAGAAAGAGAGAAAGAGTAATACGTACTTTCTCTCTCTCTCTCTCTCTCTCTCTCTCTCTCTCATCTCATTAGCTTTTACGAGCCTTTATGCTCTCCTGACGGCGCCGAACCGTCTTTTACTGCCCGTTCATCTCGCCGAGTTAATCGTAAATCCATCTCCAGCGCGTCCACCGTTTCGTCTCGCTATACCACCCTTCTTTTTTCCTTTTCGAAAGAAAGAAAGAGAAAAAGAAAGAGAGAGAGAGAGAGAGAGAAGTTGGAGAGACGAGACACGCTCTCGTCTTTCCCATCGATCTCTCTACCGTTCGTTCGCGTTTTACGAGACTTTGTGCAATGGAATCTTTCGCGCGAGATTTACACGTGAGAAACCAAGAAAATATCGATCGGTCGTTGTTAAGTTCGGTCAAAAGGTTACAACTTACGTCTTATAAATCTCTACCTAGCTACGTAACTTGTTCTCGTTCTCGTTATTTTCTTTTCTTTTTCTCATTTTTTCTTTTTTTTTTTTTCTCCTCCTTTTTTTTTTTTTTCTTTTTCTTTTCTTTTCTTTTCTCTTTGTCGAGTCGATACTCTCTCGCCAATGAGAGAACGTTGATTTTTCTTTTTCTTTTTTTTTTTTCCTTTTTTTTTTTTTTTTTTCTTTTCATTCTTCTCCTCCTTTTCTTTCAATCCCTCCTTTATCTCTTTTACCTTTTATTCCTTCCTTCCTTTTTTCAAATTACTCCATACTCTTTTCGCACTAATTTCCCCATGTTAAACGTTATCTACTTTTCAATATCATAGAACAAATAATTTCCGGCGTTATGATTAGATCATTAAGTGGAATACAATGACAGGAGGAATATTTGTTTATCGATTGATTAGATTAGTAAATAGAACACTCGAAAGGAATAGTAGATATCGATAGCGTCGAGCGTGTTTCGTGTGTATGTGTGACGCGAATATTGTTCATTCGCGCAACAACGTAATTCATTGAATATAATAAAAGAAACATCTCCGTTGTCAACGTTTTTTTATTATTATTATTATTATTATTTTCTCTCTCTCTCTCTCTCTCTTTCTTTCTTTCGATAAAATAAACAAGTACGTTTTTCCCGTATTACATCTTAAAGATTATCTTAAAGATAAATCACTTGTCGTACGTTGAGTTCTATCGAATTATCTATTATTTATTTTAACAGTTATAATAGCGTCGTATAATATCGATAATCGAAAAATTCATTTTCAATAGTTAATTAAATTGACTTTTACGCGTTCCATTCGATTCATATCCTACGAAATAAGATTTAGACGTTTAGTTTACACGCATAGTTTACTGTATTACGTATGTTAGTATATACATATACTACGATTCATCTGTACGACGATTCTGATTTTGCATTCGGAGAAAGGAAAAGCAAATGGTGAGAGGAGGGAGCGATGGAGGGAGACGGAGGAATTACAAGACGGAGAAACATCCATGGATTCTTGCGTCAGAAGCTCGATTCTCTCGTTCGACAGAGGGCCAGTAGTACGCGAAGATATATAGAAAGATAAATAGAGACAGAAACAGAGATAGAGAGAAAAAGAGGAGACATATAGACAGAGAAAAAAAGAGAAATAGAGAGAGAGAGAGAGAGACAGAGAGAGAGAGAGAGAAAGAAAGATACACTAAATGAGGAAGGCATTAATCAAAGCGCACGTGCCAATATAAAATTGAGTCACCATATGTATCTCTCTCTCTCTCTCTCTCTCTCTGTATATATATATATATATACACATATATTTAACGTGGTTAAAAGTAGATCATAGTAATTTTCAATGATTTTATTTATTCTGAGAACAAACATGTTTACTACGATTCGTCCCGCCGACCGATACTAGCGGAAGAAAATCTTTCGTTGATATTCTCGCCTACTTCGTCTAATCTGATATAATGACATGTCGGGTCGGTCCATCGTCAGTATCAAATTCACCATCGGAAGTAAAGAAAATATTGAAAGGGAGATTGAATCTCCGTATTTTCTCCCTCTCT